GGGCTTAGGGTTTAGGGTTATTGTTTGCAGGTCCACTGTACTTATAACTAACTTATAACCCAACTTTACGGTCCCTAAGCCCCCTGTTATGCCTTAACTTAAGCCGGTAACAAGTACAAGTCTTATAATGCCGCATTTCCTAATGGACTTTTAAAGATTGTGATCATGGTAGAAGGTCTTTCTTTAGTTGCCTTGTGCCCAACAAGTTCTGGATCATCAGAGTCCCACTGCTTGGGGTTTGCGCTGTTTTGGGGCTTAGGGTTTAGGGATTTGAGGGTCCCATGCCTCACGGGTGCAGTCAGTGGTGAAGCATCTTGCCAGAGAACTGCGCTTGAGCTTCCAAGCGCTAGGAAACCCCATCCTCAAAGCTCTAAACTCATCAAAATCCCGGGTCCAAAGACCTGAAACCCCACAACCTCCAAATGTAAATTCTCCTTCCATGAAGTACCACTCCCTTGAGCAGCAAGCTCCCAGATACACTTGACAATTGTCTGACACCAGCTCAAGGCACGTTGGGGCTGTTTTCTCCAAGTTCGCTCCAACGGCAGGACTGTAGGCGAAAATGTTCCTTCACTTCACCCCACTAAGCAATGAACCCATAACCACCCGAGTTGTGAATGTAGGGATGCTTTGAGTGATCCAAGGTCACTATGTGGCTTAGCATAACAGGATTCTGGTGGTTGCAGGTCTTAAGGTTTAGATTTTCAAGATTTAGAGCCCCCACAATTGGGATCACATAACTATCATGCGACTCAAATGGGTGCTACTCTTGGGGGTTGAGGGTCCCAAAACCCCAAATCTTCCCAAGGCATGGGGTTCGGGGTTGCAAGCTACTTTCTGAGACCTTGGAGCGAAGTTTCAGAGTTTAGGGCTTAGGATGTTAGGCATAGACTGGGGTGAGAAGCAGAATCACCCCAACTAAGCGGCTTATAACTCATCACTTACTCAGTCCCCTGAGCCTCCACATATGGAGTTTCATGATCTAGTTCTAAAACAGCTACTAGATGTTCCATATGCATATAGATATATGTATATGTGGCTTTGGAGGTTTTTTTGGAGGACGCAGCATTCCACCGAGTTCCAAGGCCCCTTCAAAAAGTGGTGGTTACTTCTTTGGGGATCCGGGAACTGGCAGAATAGTGAGCATACGAGCCACTGTCTAAACTCCTTAAGGGGGGTTATATAGGGAATTAGATAGGGGACTACTATAGGGACTATGAAGGGGGATACTAGGAGTTTAGACTATAGAGCACATGGTCACGGGGTTGGTTCATGGGTTTTGGCACTACGAGTAAAGCACTATCCCTCAAGCCTGTCTCAAAAGATTCTGAATCCTGAGCCGGACACACTGAACCTGGCACCCCAGACCCTGAATCCCAGCCATAAGCCTGAACCCTCCACCAAAAACCTTGAACTCCAAACCCGAGAACTCACCCGAAACCCCAAGTCCCCACAGCTTTGTGGGTAGTACCGAGAAATTGGGGGGGGAGGGGGGGGGGTCGGGGTAATGATTACCGAGCTATAGGATCTTCTTTAATAAGGGTTTAGGGTTTAGGGTTTAGGGTAAGGTAAGGTTTGCGGGTTCAAAGCTCAGCCTCAAACCTTCAAAGATCTTGACAATGCCTCAACCGAGCATCTCGTCTGACAGAAACTGCCACTGATGCAGGACGGTGCTGACGCTGTTGGCCCTGAATGATTTGGCCGTTTCCAGAAGTAGTGCTTCCCTTATACACATCCAAATGCTCGTGCCCCTTCAGGCAACACTTACAATGGCTCAAACCCAGCACCTTGCCTGCATCAACATATTGGGTTCTTCAAAAGTAGCGACCCTGAAGTAGGTGAATCCACATTAGAATCATGAGAAGCATTGGAGAGCTCTCTGAACGGTTTTACTCTTTTTTCGTATTGAAAAACCTATGCGTTCTCTAGTCAACGCTCGGGCTGGCAACGCATCCAGGTGCGTTGTCATTGGATCTCGGGAGGCCGAGCCGAAAAATGTTTACTTTCATAGGGCTCCCTTACCATTCTGCTTCAAGGATTGTGCTGCTTCAGCACGGCCCCCACAGGCTGAAGCAGCACACAAATTTGAAGCAGCAGCCGATCGGAAGCAGCATGCACTTTGTGAGTCGGCCAAGTTTAGTCGAGCTTTCCTGCAAGAGCACGTATTAATCAGCATGCTGCATGCTAGCTACTGCCTGCTGTTTCAGCTCTGCATGCTGCTTCTCAACGCAGAGCTCTCATGCTGAAGCAGCGCCCTAGAGTTGATGCAGCATCAATGTTGAAGTGGATAGCACTTGTGATGTTTGCGGCTTTGCTGAAACCAAAATCCCAAATCCTCAACCTGAAGCCCTGTACCCCAAACCCTCAGTCCCAAGCCCTAAACCCACAAACAGAAAATCATCAATCCCAAACCCCACGCCCAAAAGCTCAATCCAAAAGCATACACCCCAAAGCCCCGAGCCTCAATCTCAAACCCCAAACACCAAACCCAAATCCTCAATCCCAAACCCTAAACCCCAAATCCGGAATCCCAGCAAGCCCTAACCCTTTGTCAAGCCAAGATGCATCAAACTAAAGCGCAGCGAAGCCATGTCCTGCGCAGTGCCGTTGGGCCTGCGGTGAAGGCTAAGACTCGAGGGTCAGGGATTGAGACATGAGGCTCTGGTTCAGAATTTAGGGTTTGGAATGTGTGGAGTTAATAGTTTAGGGTTTAGGGCGTCCTGTCGCGCGACAGCTGGATGTACTATGTGGACACGGCGCCCTAACGCACAACATGGGCGTCCGGGGGGGGTGGGGGATTTCTTGCAAAGGCGCATGACCGATCAGAACCCAACAAACAGACTCGGTGTTGTTGTCCTATGCTTCCACCCCTGCTCGCGCAGGCATCCACCCAACCTTTCTCCAGCTCGAACCTCAGGCTGCCGCCCTCAATTCCCACTCCCAAGGTAACCATACATAGTCCTGGCGCCCTGGCGCCGTGTTCGCGCGTGTACATTGCGAGGGAGGACGCTCGAAAGCTCAGATCTGTGCCAAGCCAATTACCTGCACGTCCTGGGAGAGGCCGAAAGGCCCTGCAACCCTTGCGAAGCCCGGGAGGCCCTGATTTGGGCAGCTTCAAAGCATCTCTGTTGATTACTGCCCCCCCAGAAACAGTGTATATTAGGGGTCCTATTAAGGGCTATATATATATAACCATATTTTATTTATTATCCAACTGTTACTGAGGGGGGGCAGTACCCAAGATCTCTGCATGTAGGCGCAATGCTGAAACAATGGCAGAGGAGCCACGGAAGTTGGTGAGCAAGGGTTAGGGCTGAGAGGATTTTAGCCCAAATGCTACCCTGAGTGGGGTCCTAACACCGGCACTGGGAGGTGCAGCTCATGCTCTACACAAGTCTTTAGGCGTGCATGGTCGTCCCAAGCGATGTTCTGAATAGCTGTGTTATGTAGTTCCCTGGAAAAGGGTGGGTACCCAGAACCCTGGGAGGATCTAAAAATTAGATCCCCTATACAGACCCATTATAGCCCTTATATAATTCCCCCCATGGTTCTAGGGGGGATCTAATTGTTAGATCCTTTTGGGGGTCTGGGTAAGGCCAAGCAGGCCTGCGTGGGAATTTAGGGTTTTTAGGCTTTAGGGTTTACGTAGGGCTGGTGGTTAGGGTTAGAAAGGGATATCTCAGTTTTTCAGAGGGTCACATGTGCACATATATATATATATATATTTAGGGATTGTCGGATTGCCTCAGTAATGCAGGATCAAATGGAAAAGAAGATGGAACATGAAATGGACAATTGGACGATATAGGGGTTGATACGGATTAGGGTTTGGGGTTTACCTGTAAAATCAGTTCCCTACAGTTTTGTAGGTAATACTGTCGAGGCATATAACTGCCTGAAACTACAGGTAATTGGGATTACAACCCTAAATCCCTAAACAGTAAAAACCTAAGCCCTAAACCCTACAGTTGAGGCCTGCTATGATATAGTCCCCCTTAAGTAGATAGAATATGGGAAATATATGGGGATCTTATTATAAAATACCCAAAGCCATTTTCTATCTACTTAAGGGAGACTATATATTTTACACAATAAGCGCCTGAAAGCCTGGCCTCAAGGTCCTGTTTGTTGTGGTGAAAAGACCATGTCTTTGATTCGGGGTTGGGAGGGCTTTAGGGTTCAAGGCTTTTTGATTTAGGGTTTAGGGTTCAAGGCTTTTTGGTTTAGTGTTTAGGGTGTGGAACTGTTGGAGGAAAACAGCTTTGGGCATGCGGCCCCGCACAACAAAGTGGGTGGCCTGGAGGCTCCGCAGGTTTATCAGACATGCAAGTGAATCAAGTCAATGACTCTGGGAAGTTTCATATACGTCCTACAACCCGCCTCTTTCGAACCCATCAAAGACCAAACACTGTTGGCAGCGTCAAAGACAAGAAGCAACTGTACTAGAGGCAGGAGGAGTAACAGCATTAGCACAAGTTGCGGTTCTAGTTGGACGCTTGGACCCTAAACCATAGGTGGAGCACATGCGGCAGTCGTCTTAGCAGGAATGTCGGCAGCAGTACGTGGCGTCTATACGGGGTCCGCCTATGTACGGAAACTCCCATAATTTGCTTATACAATTCGTCAAGGTGCGCCGGAGCAGGTACCAAAAGAGATTCGAATTCGCCAGGTCTGAGATCAAGAAGTTTGCCTGAGGCTCTGTGGGCCTCAGCCCTAAAACCTAAACCCACGAAAGATGTTAGATGGGGAGTCCCGAAGTAGGGTACCTTCTAAGGTCTCTGTAAGAGGCCTTTCCAGAATAGCTAGACAACAAGGAATAAACTGGCGGTTCTCAAACATTCATTTGTTGTAGGCTAGGGCTATTACATAGATAGGGGTGTTTGGGAGTACATGTAACGATTCGAATCCTCGCAGCTCGTTTGCCCAGACTCGCTCTTCTTCTCGTAGGTTTGGTTAGTAGCCCTCAGAGGACACACTCTAAGGAAGAAACCTTACCACTTCAACTAGAGCTTGGTACCGGAAACACGCTGCACCAATATACTAAGCTGAATGCTGTGTGACATTATGGACCCTAGCATGAGGCATCCTCCACCAAACAAGTAACCAACTGCTTGCCAGGGCATAGGGAGGTACCCTGCTTTTGCATGTCTTTGTCTGTTGTTCCAACATCGTGCCGTATCTAAAATTGCAGAAGCCAGGGATGCGGATACTTATGATGTCAGCCCCCAAACATCCTGAGCAACCAAAAACAAAATGCCAAATCTGAAGTCAGACGTGGGCATGCTTCATGGTGCTGTTTTCAGTCTACGGCAGGCCCATACCAGAAACTGTAGGGCCCTAGACCCTCCTCCAAAATGACATGGTACCTGAACAAATCCTTGGTGGATTGCTGACTTTTGTTAAATGCGGGCGGTTTACGGAGTTCCGTGTTAGTTTAGGGGAGGCTAAGACTGAAAGCCCCGTGGATTTGAAGTGGCCATATAACCCTGAACCCTGGAAACCCTAGCCCCGGCCAACAACCCCTTGCAAGGGACACCCCGACCCTAAACCCTAAACCCTGGACCGCTAGGCTTAGGGCTCTACCTGCTTCGTAGCACTAGCCATGTTTGATAAGAGCTGGGTCAACTGCAACAAGAGCCCAAGCCCCTAGAAACATACCCCAAACCAGCCTACAAGCATTCTTCCTGCATCAAAACCCTATAAGCCCGTAAACACCTAAGCCCCGAATCTCATCTCAAACCTCAGCCCTAACCCCTACACCCAAAACCTAAACCCCTACTAAAGCCCAGCCCAACTTCCAGCTCTAATCCACAAAAATCCATTGCCGTGTCCACATTCTTTTCCATTCCCCTAATCCCAGGAGGCGCTGAATCCCAAACCCAATCCCCTAAACTTACATCAAAAGCCTCAAACCAATATTGGGCCCATGAGCCCTACACCCTATATATTCCTCCATATATCTCTATGCGCCCCGTTTCTGTAATAACTGTAGAAAGCACCTTCCCTTGGGAAATGAGGCTTCGGAGCATAGTCTTCAAACCCTGCAAGCCCTAAACCTGAAAACCCCTAAAACCTCCAAACTCCGAACCTCCAAGCCCCAGAATGAACCCTAACCCTGAACCCTTAAACCCCCCAACCTCACAACACTCCGAATCCCTCAAACTCTGACCCTAAACCCTATCCCTAAACCCTAAACCCTATCCCTAAACCTTTAAACCCTAAACCCTAACCCTAAACCCTATCCCTAAACCCTTAAACCCTAAACCCCTACCCCTAAACCCTATCCCTAAACCCAATAAACCCTAAGCGGCACAGCCCTGGGTTGCTTCTGAGCTTCCACCCGCCGGCGGCTCGGCGAAGCAGTGCGAGAAGTTGAAACCACAGCCTGGGTTTGGGGTTGAGGGTTTAAGGGTTTAGGGCTTAGGGTTTAGGATTTTAGGGTTTTAGGGTTTGGGGTTTGGGATTTTGAGTTTAGGGTTCAGGGTGTAGGGTTTTAGGGTTTAGGCTTAGAGCACCCCTGAGAGAAGGTTTTAGGGGGATGTGTATATATATATATATGTCTTTATATGATAAATATGAACATGTGCCGAGATAGAATGGATATTTCGCGCACTTGGCATGTGGCTTTGGAAGTTTGGGGTTTAGGGAGTTGTAAATCATAGGATGCCTTTGAGGAATTGAATTTAAAGAAGGAATGGAGATGAGAAGGCGACCTACTGCATCATGCAGGGTTTAGGGCTTAGCCTGGGTTGCTGCTCTGCAGGCATGACTGGGAATCTGAAGCGATAATGAAATGGAGCCTGCGGCTGATAGGGATGTGTGTTTTCATATGAGCTCACGCCAAAATACTTATTCCCAGAAGCGGCCGCATCTTAGGGGGTATCGGTGTTGGGTTTCCCCTATCCGTAAACAGGGGTTTGTGCAAAATTACGAACCATGGCCGCCCGAAGACTAGTTCCTTTCATGGAGATTGACGGTTGTGGCTCATATGAGCTCCAGTCATTCCTACGTAATTGAATGGACATGGGTTGCTTACTAAGGTCTATATTAGGAACTGTACTAAACTACGAAATGGACGCCCATGTCTGCTGTTCAGGGCCCCTTAATAAGGTTAATATTGACAGTGCTTCATATACGGTTTCCAGAGCAGATGTTTGAGGGATGGAGTTACAGGGTTTTAGGCAGAAGCACAATACAGCAGCGCTGATAGATAGCGCAGGTGCTTGCTGGAGCACAGAAGCCTGGGGTTCAAGAATTAAGCTATTGTGTTTTTGCTCGGGTGAGGGTTGGGGGGGTGTAGGGCCTAGGGTTTCGGGACTTAGGACTGGGATTTAGTGTGTATGCGCTGTAGGGTCTAAGGATTAGGGCTTGGGGCCAAGAATGCCGCAGAACAGGGTACCTATACTTCAGGATTACCAAGGGATGTTTATGGATTATGGAAGTCCCACTCAAGAATAATCAGCTGCCCATGATAATCAAACCCATCCTTCCAGGACCCGCTCCACCCAACAAAATCATCCTGAACGTGCCAGAGTACAATACAGGGAAAGTCATTAGTATAACTTGGGTACTACCCCCCCTCAGTAACAGTTGGATAATAACTAATATGGGTGTATATATATAGCCCTTAATAGGACCCCTAATATGGACTGTTACTGGGGGGGGCAGTACCCAAAGTATAACGATGAAGTGACTAAATAAGGTTGCTACTCAGAATTTACAACATATCCATGTGGAGGAGGTTGGAAAGCCTATCCTCAAATAAACCCTACATGCACGGAAATCAATGATCTCTTACAACCCTAAGCCCTAAACTGCGTATATTCTTAGGGTCAACCCAAAGCCCGACTCTTTTCGCAACCCTTAAACGCTAAACCGTAACCGTAATCCCTAAGTCCTAAAACAAAAACGTACTCCACGACACCTGAACCCAACGGTAACGTGCTGGATACTTCCCGGACATTCTCAGTCAGGTATATTTGTATTTCTCGAAGTGAAATATGTTTCAAGGGCACAAAATACAACAATTAAAAAATGGGGGGGCATGCCACAACAGGTTGGCGACTTTTCCATGAGCGCTTAGCCCTAAACCAAACTATACAATCCCTACACTAACCCTTGTACAACACCAGTTTCAATTTGCTTCATTGTCTGTGCGTGTTTCCAAGAGATTCCCAATTATCTTAGGGTTTCTCAAAATGAGGGATGCCTTTTTGGGGGTCCCTATAATAAACATTACCAGATCTTTGGGCGCCATATTTGGGCCCCCCTATTTTGGGAAGCTACCACATGACCCCATTATAGTAGTTTCCATTTTCTTTTCCATTATCCCTATATAATTCCAATAGTATAAACCCTAGAATCCCTATATAACCCCCACATACACCCTATTTTAGAAAACTGAGAAACTACCACCTTGCTTTAGGTCGGCTAATTAGCAACCTGGCCGCTCCGTGGTTCATCTTCTCCTCACATCTTGGGAATTTACTGGGTTGCTGTTAAGGAACTTAAGTTACGTTACTATATTGGGGAAACCNNCCTATAATTTACTATATATATATATACCCATTATGGTAACTTAATTTAAGTTCCTTAACAGCAACCCAGTTTAGCCAGAGTTCAGGGGTTCAGGATTCAGGTTCCCCAGTATACCATTATTAATGAGGGTACCCTTTATCCTACTGTTTAGCTTTAAGAAGGAGACCCCAAAATAAAAAGGGCAAAAGGGTACTACTGGGGTACCTGGGGATTCAGGGGTTCAGGATTTAGGTTTAGAATGTGGCGTTTAGCTCTTTCGGCTTATTAGAGATTCGGGGCTAAGTGCTTAAGTAGTTCAGGAGTAGGAGTTTAAGGTTTCTGAATATGCGGGCTTCGGTTTGATAACAGCATCAGGGGATGGGTTTAAGCTAGATCTTGTAAGCAGTTTCGAATTTCTGGTGCTTAGCAGGAAACGTTGCAGGGACTTTTCTAGGGCTTTATACAAGGTCTGCTACAGAGATCCATTCTCATTCCCTGCTAACCACCCCGGTAATTGCTGCTTTCTTGTCTGTTCGTCGAGGATGTCTAGACCCTTCACCCCAAACCCTAAACCCTAAATCCTAAACCCTACATACCCTATATGCCCCCTATACGCCCCTCTATACCCAAATACGCTTTATGGTTTGATGATGGTCCTAGGTCTGTCAAGTCCTGCCGGGTTCCTTTACAGGCTCAGGGGCATATATGATATGTAGTTGTAAGGGTTATATAGGGATCTACCGGCGATCTATAAATGCATATATATATATACATATATATGCATACATATATATATATATATGCATGCATATATGCATATATAAATATATATTGTATATCTATATGTCTATATATATATAAGGTATACTGTATATACGGGCCTTCCACACCCCATGCTGTTCAAGGCATAGGGCGAGCCCCATGAGACCGTCATTAAGCGACCCTCTGGATCCGTAAGACCCTGAACCATAAAGCTCAAAATCCCCAAGCCCTTAAGACCTCAACAGGGTTTAGGGTTTAGGGTTTCAACTCTGACACACTCGGGGCCCTTGGCCAGCTTACTATCCACAAAGCCTCAGTTCAAAGTCCAAGTCTAGTTCACCCTAAGTAGATACAATATGTGGTATATGGGGATCTTAATATTGCTTTGGGAAATTCCACATTCCATCCACTTCAGGGGGGACTATAGCCTCCCAGGAAGCCTAGGCCCTACATCCCGAGAAAGTACTATAATCCTTAAATTATTATAGGGACCCGCAAAAAGGTGACCCCCCCCCCATTTTGGGAAACTCTCATATTCTCGTTACTCTACAGCAGAGGCCAAATAGATGGAACATGGAAGAGGAAGATTGAAAGCTACTTTTCGCCTTGAGGTCATAGGGTTGGGGGGCTGATGTTCCATCTTGTCCTACTCTAGGCCTCATCCCCAGACCCTATTAATTTTCAAAGCTCTGAAAACCCTACACCTCAAAAAACAAAAAGCCCTAAGCCCTAAACCCTATAACCTCTAAGCCCAATCACCTCTAAACCCTATAACGTCTTAACCCTAAAAAAACCAAACAAATGCTGCCTTAGCTTCTCTCCACGCTAGCTCTTCGCTGTACGGCGTTCAGCGCGCAGTGATCCGGACCGTGGCAGTCGCCATCCTCGTCCTGGGCTCCACGGTAAGGTTCAGGGTTTAGGGCTTAGGGTTTAGGGCGCTTTTTAAGGTTTAGGGGATAGAGTTTACTCAAGGGATCCTACGTGATGCCTCTTTGGGTCTGTTATGGGTTTTTGGGTAAGGGATTATACTAATTCGACTTCCCAAGAAGGAGCTACATAGGAGGGTCTGGGTAGGCTGTAGGTGTTAGGGTTGGTACATGGATGTAAAGCGGGTACAGGAATTAGGTTTTAGGGTTGAAGGCCTTGGGCTTAGAGACTGTAGCATTGAGCGTTTACTCAGAACTGTGCTAAAGGGGTCCGGACGTTAGGACAAATATCATTCGGAGTGTCCTTGGGCTGTTTTCAGGGCCTCAGGGTTTTAAGGGGCAAAGTCAGGAGTTTGTTGTCAAGGTTTAGTCCGAATTTTGCTTGTTGGTGTCTGTTTTGCTGAGGTCGTAAAGCATTCTAGGGCAGCTGTTGGATTTATAGAGCCCTAAGCCTTAAACCCTAATCGCTTTTGGTTCCGTCCCACAAATATGACTCACCTCCCAGCGAAAAGTCTTCCCAACATGCAATAATCATCATCACATGTCAGGAAATGTTTGTTGGGGCTGGTGATAGGAGGGCTTGGCGTGCCTTCACAGAAGGTATCTGGGGTGCGCAAGGCCTTGAAACCAAACCTGAAAACTAAACTCCACATCAGCAAGCTTGATGGTTTGCAAGAATGGCAGCCCCGACCCCTGACAAAAGCATAATGCTTCAGGGGTGACGGATTTTGCAGTCTGTGACGGACTCGCACTCAGAAGTTTGCCCGAAGTACTGACGCCTCCCCAAGTGCATGAATTTGATATAGGGGACTGCCTTATGCCGTGTAGGGGCCCAGTATGGGAACGCATGCTGCGAAACTGTTGAAAGCTCCTGGAACCATACTTGGAGGGTCAGGCGGACTTGGTAAGTAGCTTGAAATAGAGATAATTGGGATTACTATATTATGGCTTATAAAAGTCATTAACCTACTTACTAGCCATAACTTTTAGCTGGGAAAGTGATTGCTATCGCAAGACGAGCGTCGAGCGCGGCTTGCAATCTATCCACTGCATTTGTAGCAGCCGGTGACAAAAGATACCTGAGTAGTGTTTTTTTGGTGGTTGAACCTGGTAAGATTATATTCCTTATAATAAAATACTATACCCCAAAAGGAGGATAGAATCTTACTCTATAATGGGTACCATAGTATCCCCCAAATAAAATACTACGCAAACAACCCCTATATAATCCCAGCTCCCAGTTCATTTTCCATTTTCTTTTCCATTTGATTCTCCATTCTAGGGCCCTCAACCCTATATTATTGGGTACCATAGTATCCACAAATAAAAAACTACTCACATGGAACCCCCAATATTATAGTAGTTTCCATTTTCTTATACTACTCACCTGGTGCAGGGTTTACTGGCAATCTACAATGCTTCCAATGCGGCCTCGGCGACGGCTCCATACTGCTCCATCTTAGCCCAGACCCCCTAAAGGATCCCAAGAATGGACCCCCCCCCCAATATGACCTCCATTGCTACGCTGGGAAGATAGCGGATTATTAGGAGGTTCCATTTTTTGGGATCCTTAAGGGGGTCTGGGAGGCGCCTGTCAGGCGAGCTCCCTTCCATCTGCCCCGGTTGCGGGCTTATAGCGTGAAGGGTAGCATCTCAATGTGAGCTATAGTCTAAACTCCCGAAAGGGGCTTATATAGGGGAATATATAGGGGAGATTTATAGGGCTTATTAAGGAGGATGCCAGGAGTTTAGACTATGGCTCATGTAGGAAGAAAGGTCTGGACAGAGTGTGCTAGCTCACTAGAACATGGAAAGTGTGAAAGCCCTCTTTTGTAGAAAAGCCGTCGTCGTAGTGCTGCTGTTGAAATTGCCATCCACCCATCCCCCCGTACCCTTCGCCATCATCCCCCCAAACCCGCATCCCTTGCACGCTACAAAACCGTGTATGCTTATTTTTGCTGCAATCTTGAGAAGGACTCAACATCTGAAAGCCGGGGAACGTAGCTGATAGGGGTTTCTACTCCTGATGCGGCTGCTACTGCCACTCCTCCTCCTACTACTACTACTACTACTACTCCTGCTGCTGCTGCTACTACTACCACAACTACTGCTGCTACTACTACTACTGCTGCTGCTACTACTACTACTACTACTACTCCTACTACTACTGCAACTCCTACTCCTACTTCTGCTGCTGCTGCAGGTCTTGCTGCTACTGCTCCTACTCCTTTACTGCTCACATTTGTTTATATATGACTGCTGATAAAATGACAATCAACAACGAACAAACCTTACCAGGCAATTTAACCCTTTGTACATTGTCTCTAACGCAGCAAACCGCAACAAACCCCTAGACACCAGCAGAGATGCGCCCAGCCGATCGCCCGCAGCAACAGCGTTTTAGCTGCCGCCATGGCGATCACTGGGGCAGGGCACAGCAGTATGTGACAGCTGCGGAAATTACGTTTGCAGAGGAGATGGGTCGAGTTTCAAGGTTTAGGCAACAAGCACAAAGGACAAAGTCATTTTTTTTTGCGGGGGAAGCGCAAGGCCAGCTAAACCCAGAAACCGTGAATACAAACACAAGCTGAGTCCACGATGAATCATCGTCTCTTTAGATATCCCTAGACCTTGTACTTCAACTGCGAACCCTCAATCCCCCAAAGCCTAGACCCTGAATCCAAGCATCCACCAGCAAGCCAAGCGTAGCGTTTAGCCTTTGGTGATTAAGGTTGTGAATTTCCGGTCGGATCATCGTTTCTGGTGACCTGTCAGGACACCATTTCCTCTGGCAATGTTCAAACCGAATACCTCTGCACCACGCGCATGTCGACAGCGACGACCCTGGGGTGAAACCCCGAACCCTACACCTCCACAAGGAACCATGGCTGCCAATACTGTTCAGGCTTAAGGGTAGAGGTCTATGTGGGTTAAGGGTTCAAGGTTTAGGGTACCAAGGCATGCTCTGATCATTTCTGACCTGCTTATTCCTTGCTGCTAACTGAACACAGCTAGTCGATATACTGCACTATATCTTGCTCGAGTGTGACTTCTATGCTCTCTTACTGGCTATTACTAATACCATTTGCAAGTACCCCTGTTCTCCCTACAGCCCCCAGGGTCCAAACTCTCAGCCCCTAAACCACAAAACCCGATACATCCCGCGCCCATGAAACGTCCTAGATCGGAATGATGCCGACAGCAAACAACAAAGAGATAATGATGGATAGTAAAAACTGCAAAAAAGTGGGAAAGCAGCGTGGGGAAGGCTGATGCTGCCGAGTATGCTCGGACTGGTGTTTTTATGATGAAGCTTTCCCGAAATGACAAGAAATATGTCTCATGTCATGGTGATGCAGAGGGCAATGAGCAGGAAGACGTGTAGACGCAGCTGTGACGGAATGTTGGCGTAGAATACTGATGTGGGGCTACTTTGGACAAGCGTCGGGGAACTCGCGCGCGAATGGGAGCGGCAAGGGGGGGATCTGGCAGGATCTCATATGATATTGAGCCCTAAGTCTAAATCCTGAACCCCAAACTGCAGAGATATTACAAGGAACCCTAAAATCTAACCCTGAACCCCAATTTGACAATTATGGGCCAGCCCCCAATCTCGCGGAGTCGACCTCCGGCAGATTGACGAAGGACGTCCCGACTCGTTCTTCAGATCCATGGACGCCTTCATTGTCGTTGAGGGCTAAGACCCAGAAGCTCCTACCTGGACTACAAAATGATGTGAAATAATGGCCTTTATGGCTGTTCTTATGGGCTTAGGGCTATGATTTTACATACTTTTGGGGTTTAGGTATGTAATATAGGGGCCTAAGAAGATATCAATATCATGTTGAAGACTGCTTGAGGTATCCTATCCCTTAAGTATGCTGGTAATCTGGGAGCATAACATTGGTGACTATGGAGGCTTCTACACTAGATCTTTCTTGGGTGCTTTTCGTACAGCAGTTACCCCCGTAATTCCTTAATAAGACTCCTTCAAGGACAAGTGCTGTAGGTCCACTACCAGAAAACCAAAACTAGTCCCAAAAGGAACTGCAGTGGAGTCCTTTTATAGGGTCTTTTCAGGCTGAGGGAGCGCTTATAATAGCTGAATTCTAGGAGTTTGGGTTTAGCTTGAATGCTTACCAAGCTTTTCGAAATGAATATATCGGGATTAGGTAAACCCTCAACCCTGAGGCCCCTAACCAACCTTCAAACCTAAGCCCACGAGGTTGCTCAAAGTTTGGTTGCCCCAGGGACCCTAGGGAGTCGGTTCAGGGTTAGGGGTCAACTCCAATCGAGTATCTTGAGAACCCCCCAAACCCTAAACCTTTCACCTGTATGAATAATGGATTTACTTAGCCCACATTACCCTAGGAAGAAAAAAGGATCCTTTTTACATAAATATAAGGAATCCCATACCCAAAAAAGTATAAAGCGCGTCCTTGTCTGAGAGCTACCCCCAGCGTTTCCAAAAAGTATAAAGGATCCCTAACATTGATCCTGTTTACTCTGCAACAAAGTCTCAAACGCTTAACCCTCAGCCCTACTTCATAAACCCTAAATTCTAAATTCTAAAGCTGCATGAATCCTAGACCCTCCGGTGGCCTATGAATTCGAGGGACGGATGATGTCGGAGAGGCGTCTGCTCCTGAACAGGGTTTGAGGTGTAGGGCTCAGGCTTTAGGGGAGCTCGAGGTGCATAGGATTGCGTTTACCTGGACCCCCAAAGTATGTAAAACCATGGGAATATAGGGGTTATAGGGAGAATGGAAAAGAAAATGGAAGCTACTATTTAGGGTTTAGGGTTTAGAGCTATGAACCCCAAAAGTATGTAAAATAATGGCCTTTTGGGCTATATTTAGGGGTGTTGGGCCATTCTTTTACCTACTTTAGAGGTTTAGGGTAAAGGGTGAAGGATTAGGATGTAGGGCTTAGGGATGAGGACCGGATTTCTTATCTGGCCTTTAGGCGTTTAGGTTGCAAGATTTCAGGTTTAGGATTTCGGGGCTAGAAGGTCAAGCTTTAAGCATCAGGGTTCTGGGTTTCAGGGTTGAAGCTACAAAGTGATTTCATGATTTACCAGTGCCTGCACACACTAGGAACCCTGCACATCCTCAACAATAGCTACCATTGTAACAACCTGATTACAAGGGCTCCCCAGAAAGCCAACAACTGGAAATATATTTATACTTACCTGAGCCCGAAGTCTGTGAAAATGATCTGTTTCGTTCCACGTTCCTCTCCTGAGCACACTGCGCAGTTCGAAGGCGGTCGTCATAGAAAAACGCAGAAGAAAACGCCGCAAGTGTCGGAAGCATACGGAACCTCGCGCTTCAGGGCTTCAAGGATTCGAGCTTTGGGGCTGGGGGCCTGGCATGGCGGAGTTTTCGGTTGTTTGAGCTTTAGCTTCCGGGCAGCCTTGGATTTAGGTACCGGGGGGTGGGGTTCCTGTCAAGGCTTCAGGGTTTGGGATTGCAGTAGTTGATGGCTACCCGAAGGCAGGTCCTAGTGCCCCAGCGCTAGGGTTGAGGGTTGGCCGCTTCCGGTCCCTCCCAAAACCCTAACAACATATCGTCTGGCATACCTTTAAGGCTTCAATGTTAGCTTTGGTGATTACCAGGAACTCCAAGTACCCATAGATCATAATAATGTCTAGGTAGGCTCTGTTTGATGATGCTTGGGCTCTGTAGACTGCTGCAGGCCTGTAATCCCTTTCTACCTACAACTAAAAGTGTATCTTGAATAGTTCACTGGGGTTATACTACAATCAAAGTCAAAAGTAAATCTCAAGGAGATAGGAGTGTCGGGGCCCAGAAAATCATTGAGCTTCGCCGTAAATGAAGACATCATAGCGCTATCTTGAACAAGCCTCCAAAAAAGGAAGATGTAGCCAAGCTGTAGCCAACCCTGAGCCATAAACACTACTTAAACCCTGAACACTATCAACTCAGAACAACTCTGCTGTCATTGCCCTGCTGAAGCTGCTATATTATCACTATAATCCCTATGGGTTCCATTTTCTTTTCCATATTTTCCAATATAACCCCTATCTTCCTGAGAATGAAGGAACCCTTCCTCCAGGATCTCCAGTACTCGAGGCAATCGAGGACTAAAAAGGGCCCCCCTCTCTGGATATTGCTGATTTCTAGAAAGAACGTAGGACCCAAGGAGGATAAAAGGGCTTACTCAAGATCCCTATCCTTTGAAAAGGTCGAACACTCCAAAGCCCTGAACCAAAAAAGGGTGTGCTGACAACCCTAGTAATGAACACTGAACCATAACGTGTATTAAGGGTTTAGGGTTCCCAAGTTCCCAGCCCCAATCCGTAAATCCCAGCCCTTAACCTTCGAACCCTAAACCCTTTTCCCCGAATCTTCTTTGACTGGATGCGTCCAGTTTCCAAAAAATGTAGCCTGTTGTTCTGTGTTTTACGCTGAGCTTGGCCTCATAGCCTTTCCCAGTTCCGAGAGCTGTTTTACCCAGACCTTCCAAGTATCCGTAAGAAACAGCCTATGCCTATGCACCCATTGCTTAAGGTTCAAGGCCCCTAAACCCTACACCCCTAAACCCTATGGGCCCTAAACCCTTCACCCTATTGCGACGACGTTTGGAGGTCAATCCAAAGAATGTACCCCCCCCACCCATTCCTACATTGGGGAAACTAGGTGATTATGAGCGGGTTCCATTTGTTGGATCCTGTAGGGGGTCTGGGTAAAAGCTCGCTGCGAATCTCCGCCAAGCAGCTGCGTGTCGAGCAGTAGAACTTCCTCAGGCCCAACCTCCGCAGAAGGGCTTCGGGTTAGGGTTTAGGGGCTTAGCGGCTTAAGGTTTAGGGCTTAGGGTTTAAGGTTTAGGGTTGAGGGGCTTAGGGTTGAGGAATTTGGGGGGTGGATTTGGGTACCGTTTGGCTTTATCATGGGTCCCCTACCACCCCAGCCCCGTACTACCCCTTAACTAGCCACTAGCCTTCATTAGCCATAATTTACCGAGAGCAGTTTCAGATGTGTAGTCGGCACGTGGGTAACCCCACACAAGGCTCATATAGCTCATACTAGAAGCGCAGTGGGATTATATGTGGCCTACGTAGGCCTCTCACAGAGGGGTTCTCGTTTGATAGCTACCCAACTGGAACCGTCCTTGAGTTCGGGCATTTGGAATAGCGGAGATGCAGATACAAGAGCTTGGAATACGGAATGTAAACTGGACTATGCCTAAAAAATCGCAAAATCTAGGCCCTCATGAGAGCAGCTTGGAATATGGAAGCGAAAACACAGAAGTTTCAGTTGAGGGTCTTGAGTACAAGATCTCTAGGAACCTTTATCACCTCCATGAACCGCACATAGTTCATGCATGCAAGATGGAAGCCTTCTATGAGCTGCCGAAATCTGAATAAAGAACTCCCCAAACCCAAGAAAGC